CTTTGGGGGGGTTGGGGTGTTGGAGGGGTTGGAGGGGTTGGAGTGGAGGGGTTGGAGGGGTTGGAGGGGCCAACAGCGCCCAGATTGCTGGTCACCTCCGATGTAGGGTTGCGGGTTGGAGGTCTGAGCTCTGCGGTTTCAGGGTTGAGGGGGAGGCTGTTCAAGAATCGGGAACCTTGGTTTTGACGCAGGCTCCAGAAAAGGAAGACGTTGAGAAACAAACCCCCCCCCCCCCCCCGCCCTAAAAAACAACTAAACCCTAAATCCTGAACTAGAAGAGAACCCTGAGAAGAAGAGCCCCCCACACGGCAAAGGCTGCAGTCGTGCGGTGTGGAGGTCTAGGGTTTACACAGGGTTTAGGGTTGGAGGTTTAGGTTTAGGGCTTAGGGCTTAGGGCTTAGGGCTTAGGGCTTAGGGCTTGGGGCTTAGGGCTTAGGGCTTAGGGCTTAGGGCTTAGGGCTTAGGGCTTAGGGCTTAGGGCTTAGGGCTTAGGGCTTAGGGTTTAGGGTTTAGGCTTTAGGCTTTAAGCCTTGTTGATAGGAATCATGTGGCCTTTAGGTGTTGAAGGCTGCGCACGGTCCTAGGGCTGGTGGGTTCTCGTGGCTGAATTAAGAACCTCAAGGACTTCCCTTTAGAGTTTTGGGATGTTTTGGGTTATGGGGACGCCTTGAGGATGTTTCTTAGAAGAATTTGCTGGTTCTTAGCAGGAGCAAAGCGAAAGTGGAACCATAGACCTGACCAAGAAAGAAGTCGTTCCTCAAAGCACCGGTGCTCATATCGCACCACCAATAGTACTTTGTAGCAGCGCAGGCCCAAGAACTACTGCGTGCTTAAGAACCCCCCAAAAAATGAAAAATGGTATAAGGAAGCATATCTTACATTTTTTGGGGGGGTTCTTAAGCAATTGGTGGAGAAAGGTCTGAGAAGGGTGAAGATGAAGCGCTGATCCAAAACGCAGTACGTGCTAACTACTGGACGAGCCCAATCAGAGCGAAAGCCAGTGGGGGGGACGGTTTAAAAGTGCTGCATGTGAGCACTGGGACCCCACAAGCCTAACCCTCAGGGCCCTAAGCACTTGAACTCGTAAGCCCACCACGTCAAAATTCACAGCATTCAAAGAAGGGTACCCCTGCCGCCCCCGAAACACGATAAGCCTCGTTCTAGGAGCCCACAAACGGGTTTAGGGTTTAGGGTTTAGGGTTTAGGGTTTAGGGTTTAGGGTTTCGGAAACCCCATTTGGACCCCAGCTGGGACTCCAACCAACTACTTGCGACCCTCCCCCCAACCCCACAAATTAGCAACGTATGCACCAGGATCGGCTATTGGGCCAACAACATCACCATCACCAACCCCATACCAGGATGGGCTATTGGCCAACAAAACCGCCATAACCAACCCTACAGAGGGCGTTGAGGCATGAGAGGCTCATGAGAGGGTATCGGTGGCCCAATCTGGTATCTCGGTTCTCCCAACGTAAACTTGACCCAAGAGTAACCTAAGAACGAACAGGGTGCCTTTTTTGGTTTAAAGGGTCTTAGACAAGAACCCTAAACCCCAACAACTGGGAAACAAGGCCCCACCCTGGGTCCTAGTTACCCTAAACCCTAAACCCTACAACCTAAACCCTAAACCCTAAACCCTAAACCCTCAGCCCCGGAAGCAAATGCGGCCAGGCACCGCCCTCCGGACTCAGGAGGCAATCCACGAGCTCGACGAAGTTGCGCTGGAAAGGGGGGTTCGGTTAAGGGTTTTAGGGTTTTAGGGTTTTAGGGTTTTAGGGTTTTAGGTTTTAGGGTTTTAGGGTTTTAGGGTTTTAGGGTTTTAGGGTTTTAGGGTTTTAGGGTTTTAGGGTTTTAGGGTTTTAGGGTTTTAGGGTTTTAGGGTTTTAGGGTTTTAGGGTTTTAGGGTTTTAGGGTTTTAGGGTTTTAGGGTTTTAGGGTTTTAGGGTTTTAGGGTTTTAGGGTTTTAGGGTTTTAGGGTTTTAGGGTTTTAGGGTTTTAGGGTTTTAGGGTTTTAGGGTTTTAGGGTTTTAGGGTTTTAGGGTTTTAGGGTTTTAGGGTTTTAGGGTTTTTAGGGTTTTAGGGTGTTAGGGTTTTAGGGTTTTAGGGTTTTAGGGTTTTAGGGTTTTAGGGTTTTAGGGTTTTAGGGTTTTAGGGTTTTAGGGTCTTAGGGTCTTAGGGTCTTAGGGTCTTAGGGTCTTTAGGGTCTTAGGGTTTTAGGGTTTTAGGGTTTTAGGGTTTTAGGGTTTTAGGGTTTTAGGGTCTTAGGGTGGGTTTAGGGTTTAGGGTTTTAGGGTTTTAGGGTTTTAGGGTTTTAGGGTTTTAGGGTTTTGGGTTTAGGGTTTTTTAGGGTTTAGGGTTTAGGGGGGTTTAGGGTTTAGGGTTTAGGGGGGAGGGGGGGGGGTGGGGGGGGGGGGGGGATCAAGGGGAGTATGTACCACTACTCCCTAAGGCTCCCGAAGCTTCCTTCAGGTTCCCTAGGTACCTACCCCCCGTGAACCCCCCTCCCTTAAGGACCCTATAAGTTGTGCATGCTTCAGTGATTAGGGCTTACTTGTTTTATTTTTATTTGTTTTATTCATTTTTATTTTATTATTATTAGTTGTCTTTTTTTGGGGGGGGCTGGGGGGGGGGGCTCTTCAAGCAGTTCCCATGATGTTCATAGTTGAACCCTTTAAGGGGTACCCTTAACTATGAGGCACTTGCCATCTTCTAGAATCAGAACAACACAGTCAGGCCTCCTCCATACGACCGTCAACCCCACTGCTGTGTGTGGACGTGAAAGCCCCATCTTGAAGGGTCATGGTACTTATTAACCAAGTATAACTGTACTTATCACTGTACTTATAACCCTATCAGGGCACTTAAGGCGCTTACAAGTGGGTTATATCTCTGTCAGGTGCTCTTGATTTTATGTCTCCACCAGGACTCCAGGCCCTGAGACCATGGTGAAAAGGGGCTTGAGAGCCAGGGGTTGGGCGGAAGGCATTAGGGGCAGCCTTATAAGTACAGTTGATAATTGGCTAAAAAGCATGAACCTCCACCCTAAACCCTCAACCCTAAACCCTAAACCCATGAACCTCCAAGAAGGTAGAGGGAAACCTCAAAGGCTTGGGGGCCACAAAGCGCAAAAGTGCCTGAACCCAAGCCAGCCCCCAAGCCCCTCGCCCTCAGAGTTTAGGGTTTAGGGTTTAGGGTTTAGGGTTTAGGGTTTAGGGTTTAGGGTTTAGGGAATCCTTCGGGTTTAGGGGGCCCTATAAGCTGCGTAAAACCCTGTGCAACCTCCAATAAGCCCTTGCAACCCTATGAAATCCCTATGAACCTTGAAAACCCCGATGAAAAACCTATAAACCCTTAACACCCTACGAAAGCCCGAGCAACCCTTAAAATCCCTAAGCATGAAACAGCCTATGAACCCTTAAAGCCCTGCGAAAGCCCTATCAACCCTTAAACCCTATTGTAAAACCCGAAACCCTAGACCCGAAACCCGAAACCCGAAACCCTAAACCCCAAACCCGAAACCCTATGCCCTAGCCCTACACCCTAAACCCTAAACCCTAAACCCTAAACCCTAAACCCTAAACCCTAAACCCTAAACCCCAAACCCTAAACCCTACACCCTAAACTCCAAACCCTAAACCCTACACCCTAAACCCCAAACCCCAAACCCTAAACTCTAAACCCCAAACCCTAAACCCTAAACCCCAAACCCTAAACCCTAAACCCTAAACCCTAAACCCTATGATGAACCCTAAAGTCCCCAACAAGAGGGCTGGGCTTGCCTCCCCAGGACGGACCAGCAAGTGGAGGTTTGGATAGCCCAAAGGCCTGACATTGAGGGTTTAGGGTCAGGGCTAGGTTTTAGGGTTTAGGGCTTAGGGTCTAGGGTTTAGGGTTTAGGGTTTAGGGTTTAGGGTTTAGGGTTTAGGATTTAGGATTTAGGATTTAGGTTTTAGGATTTAGGGTTAGGGTTTAGGGTTTAGGGTTTGGGGTTTGGGCTTTGTCGTTTTAGGGTCTACCTGGTAAAGCCCTGTTTTTCATGCCGGGTAGCTCTGGTAGAAAGCCACGGACCCCCTTGAAAAGGGGAGCGCACGACCAAAAGTCCCAAGACGTTCAGAAGCCCCAAACACAATTTCGTGTAGGCCCCTGTTTATGGTTTAGGGTTTAGGGTTAGGGGCCCCTTTAAAAACTGAATAGGGCACCATCACGAAACAAGGTTTGCTGTAGGTTCTGAAGGACGGTTCGAGGCTAAGATTTGGTAGGGGTTGCGTTGGGGGTCGCATATATGGGTTTAGGTTCAGCGTCGAGTGTACACGGGCTGGTAGCTAGAGCCCGGACCTACTTGCTAAAGGTCCATTCTGTGCGTGCTTGGGGTTGAAAGCCTTAATGATAGGGTCCTCAAGGGAAGGAGGTTCATGGGGGTTGGGTACCTAGGGAATTTTAGGTAGCCCTGAAACCTTTCAACTCTCAACCCCTCAACCCCTCAAATAAAGGGATGTTAATGGAAGCCCCAAACCAAGACTATAGTAGGAATACAATTAGAATATACCTACCAGGGCCCAAACCCTAAACCCGAAACCCTAAACCCTAAACCCTTATCTTCCCTTCACATTCCTACTCTGTTCTTGGGGTTCCCTGTTCTTGGGTTTCCCATTAGGATCCTATATCAAAGCCAACCTTAAGGGGCATAAGGAGGGACCCCTAGAAGGGACCCATAATCTTAATCCCCTAAACCCTAAACCCTAAACCCTAAACCCTAAACCCTAAACCCTAAACCCTAAACCCTAAACCCTAAACCCTAATGTATCTAAACCCCAAATATATATATATATATATATATATGTACACATCATATTGTCCCCGTTTGCCTAAGTACCCCTAAATAAACAGCCTCAAATCACCCCGAAGGTCCCTTATAAGGGTCCCTCCTTTAGTCCTTTGATTTCATCAAAGCCACGCGCTCCGAAGCTCCGACACTCCTACCGGCGCGGATATTTCCGCTCAGTCGGTGCTCGCGTACTGCACGCAGGTCTGCTGCAAGTCCTTGCTCCATCCCTAACAAAACCCCTTCAACCGTAAAACCCGAAATACCCGATTGCCATAAACCCCCCAAAACATCCTAAAAGCCCTAAGACCCTAAAGCCCTAAAACCCCTTAGCCCTCCAACTTAAAACCCCTAAACCCCTTAAACCCTAAAAGCCCCCAAACCCCAAAAACCAAAACCCTAACTCTTAAACCCCTTAAACCCCTAAATCCCGAAAAGCCCTTGAAGCCACCCTAAACCCAACCCTAAAACCACCCTAAACCCTAAAAGCCTGAACCTCAGACCTTAAACCCTAAAACCCCTAAACCCTGAAACCCCTTAACCCTTAAACCCGTTAAATCCCTTCAAGCCCTTAAGGCCGCCCTAAACCCTAAACCCTAAACCCTAGACCCTAGACCCTAGACCCTAAACCCTAAACCCTAAACCCTAAACCTGAAACCCTAAAGCCTAAACCCTAAACCCTAAACCCTAAACCCTTGAAGCCCCAAAAAGGCCCTCCTGGTCAATGAGGAGGACAGCTCCCAGGTTGCCATACCTTGGGGATTGAAGGAACCCTAAAATCGGGGGTTTAGGGTTTAGGGTTTAGGGTTTAGGGTTTAGAGTTTAGGGTTTAGCGGGGTTTAGGGTTTAGGGTTAGGGTTTAGGGGGGTTCAGGGTTTAGGGTTAGGGTTTAGGGTTAGAGGTTGAGGGTTTATGGTTTCGGGTTTAGGGTCTAGGATTTAGTCCTTAGGGTTTAGGGTGTAGGGTTTGGACTTTAGGGTTTAGGGTTAACGGGTCATATACCCCATGCTACCATACTTCCGTTTAAGGTAGTATAAACCCCAAACCCTAAACCCCAAACCCTAAACCCTAAACCCTAAACCCTAAACCCTAAACCCTAAACCCTAAACCCCAAACCCTCTACTGTCTATAACGGCTATCAAGGCATATCGGGATGTTGCCCCCCTTATGCTGGCAATCCTTAATCGGGATTACAATGAGGGGCTTCTAGGATCCCTATTAAGGACTGCTAGTAAAAAGGGGGAACATCCCAAAAGGCTTACATGAACCATGAACCCTTGTATACCCTAAACTTCCTAAACCCCAAACCCTAAGCCCTAAACCCTCAACTGCCTCTGATGGCTAGCAAGGCATATATGAAACTATGAAACCCTCTTTAAGGGTTCATATTGGCGCCAAAGGCGCTCACCGACGTAGTCCGCAGCACTGAAGAGAATCGTCAATGCCTGGGCTTTGGGGCGTCAGGGTTTCGGGTGGTAGGGTTGTAGGGATTTAGGGTGTTAGGGTTTCAGGGCTCTTGGGTTTTAAGGTCTGGGGGTTTTAGGCTTTTAGGGTTTAGGGTTCTTGCTAAGGAACTTGGATTAGGTTACCATGATAGGGTCCGATAGCATTGTGGTAGCTCAGCTTCAGTTCGTACAATTATCCCTATTAGGGACTGGTTCGTATAAGGCGGCACATCCCAAGCAACTTCATTCTCCTGAACAAAAAACCCAGGGGCTCCGTCAAGCTCTATCTGATAGCCAGCCTCAACCACACCGGAGCTGCAGCAAATGGACTGCAAGCCATGCTTCTCCAAAAAGCCAGACACCTGACTGGTTCTTGATGTGCTCTCATGTACATGAAAAAATGATTATATATATATATATGTATGTATGTATAAATGGGGGCTTCCGAAATTAGGGGTACCTTATTGGGATCCTTGTTAGCAGGGAATCCTACTATTTGGGGGTCTATTTTAGGGTCCCCTGTTTCGGAGATCCCCATATATCTATAAGCCCAGATCCTTTAGGGTTTGTTTAGCATTGACTATTCTTTTCAAATACCGAAAAAACACTTACATTTTTCATATAATCATATCTTCTTTTTTAAGAAACACACTTCCACGGTCGAACTTGTATGAGCCTGCCGCCTCTAGGTTCCATTTTACGAAGTGTCTTCAAACTTTGGTACGTACTTCATGATATAACTGCGAATTTGGTACTATATATATATATATATACATTCACACAACATGTGGACTGCCGCTTACGCAGAAAGGTCTTTACAATCGAGTTGCCAAACGTGTTCTTGGGTTCTTTGCTGTTATGACTCCTGTGAATCTTGTTGCTTTGCACGCTGCTTGTTTATGCTTTCCGGGATCTCGGCCAGCACGAATTCAGATTCCCGGGGGCATTTAAAGCAATTTGAATACATTGCATGGATTGGATAATGAACATTGAAGATTTCCAATCCTACTCTTCAACTCGAAAACTGATTGACAGTAGGATTTTCTCTTTTGAATTTCGCCTTTGCACTTAGTTTTTGAAATCCTACTCTTCAAAAAAAGGCAAGATGTTAATGAATTGAATTCACCTTGAAGGCGATGTTTGGAAAGGTCTAGCTGATTAAAACTATTTAGCTTAATTAATTGGGCCCTGAATTCATTTAAATGCCAGTACTTTGGATACTTCCAAAAACTCAAATAACGTACATAGTTTACTTGTTTTAAATTAACCTTGAATTAAGCCATGCAATTATTGCTTCTCACAACACGTGGTACGGCTAAACAGGCCCGAACGGCTGCTCTCTCATGTATGTGCATATATATATATACATATATATATATATGTATATGTACGCAATTATATATATATATATAGATATGTATCTTGTAATCTGAATATAGCTTGCGAAACAGAATGTAGGATATGTTCGCATTGAGTTTGTTTGTTCTATTTATATATATATATATATATATATGTAAGTAGAATACGCTCATTACAATAATGGGGAAATTGGGGAATTAAGTCCAGAACCCTAATAGTCCCTGAAAGGCATACCCTATCGATACCAAGATACATCTTACTGAGAGCTGGTAAGACACCTTGGTAGCCCAGCCACCACCTTACAAATAAGGGCACCCTTTGTGGGGTTGGTTATTTTATACGCGAAACCAGAATCCAAAACAAGGGTAAAGGGTACCATTGGGCTACTAAGACACGATGTCTGGGCCGAAGTTGAAGGAGACGTCTTTGTCCTTGCATCCCCAGCCAAGCACATGCGGCTCGAAGGTCGACCACAGAAGGTCACAAAGCAGACCTGCATCTCAGGGACCCCCCCCCCCTCCCCCTAAGATGCAGTACCCTTTAGATGGGTTTAGGGTTTGGGGTTTTGGGTTTAGGGTATGCTCACCACAAGTGGCCCTCACATTGACCGAACCTCTAAGCCCTCAACCAACAGTCTGAACGACCTTCCCAAACCCTAAGCCCTACCTCAACCCCAAACCTCAAACCCGAAACCCTAAACCCTGAAGGGTCTCGAGACCCCAAACCCCAAACCAAACCCCAAACCCCAAACCCCAAACTCGAAACCCTAAACCCTAAACCCTAAACCCTAAACCCTAAACCCCGAAGGGGTCTCCAAGCCCTGAGGGTCTCCAAACTCGAACCTTCATCTGGAACCTCTTGTCTAGGAAGATCTCGTATCTGGTCGAGGCTTGTCCTTGTTTCGGCGACTAAGGTTTCGGGTTTAGGGCTTAGGGTGTAGGGCTTAGGGCTAGGTGAAGGGTGTTGAGGTGTTTAAAAACTTAGGCTCTTGGTGAAGGGTGGTTTTCGGGTTGTCAGGGTCCGGAATCTGTGAATCCCACATCCCCGAAACCCTTAGAGTCTCAAAAGCCGCTGCGGCCCAGGCGCTTGGCAAAATACCCGAACCCACCCCCTAGTGCCCAATACGTGGACCCTAGAATAGACCCACAAATAGTAGGATTCCCTTACAACAAGGACCCCAATAAGGTACCCCGAATTTCGGAAGCCCCCATGCCGCTCTTAGAGCTTATAGGGTTTAGGCCCTCACTAAGGGCCTTAGGGACACTTAGTTTGGGGTAGTTGGGTTCCCTCAGAGGGTACTTGGGTGTGTAGGGCTTCTTGAACTCACAAGACCCTAAACCCTAAACCCTAAACCCTAAACCCTAAACCCTAAACCCTAAACCCTAAACCCTAAACCCTAAACCCTAAACCCAGGACATGCCGCTGAGAAATTCATTCCCCGGCCAGCTCTCTGAAATATGGACTTCCTAGCCTTCTGTTTCCCTAGACCCTGGAGTCTATACTCCCCTTGGAACCTTATGAAGCACAGAATTGTTCATATCCTCTTGGGTTTTATATAAACAAAAGTAGAAAATAATTCCCCAGGGGGATATAGGAGTATCCTAGGAATAGAAAGGGTGCCCTTTCTTGGTTTAAAGGCGTCTATAAGGGAACTTAAGCCCTAAAAAAAGGAAACAAGCACCTACTCTGGGTCCTAGTTACGATGCGCGCAAGAAAGGGGCCGCAAGTTGGAGAACTGCCACCACATGCCTTCTAGGTTTGGGTATGTTGGAACCCAGCAACCGGCTGTTTACCCTAAGCCCCAAACCCTAAACCCCAAACCCCAATCCCTAAACCCTAAACCCTAAACCCTAAAAAGGCCAAACGAGTCATGCTCGTCTTCAGCCTCGGCACAGATCCGGGGAGAGCCCGGAAGCTACACAGAAGATCTTGCTCCTTGGCTGGCTCGTAGGGCTTAGGGTTTAGGGTTTGGGGTTTGGGGTTGGGGGTTTAGGGTTTGGGCGTTGGGGTTTGGGGTTTGGGCAATCTTGCTCTTTGTAGGGCCCATCCCTGGCGGTTCATTCGGCGCCACACAAACATTGGGTTCTTGCGTGTCTTCATAGGTTACCACTAGTTGCTTAAGAACCCCCGAAGGCCCGAAGAAAGAAAACATGCTCTTCCTTATAAGGGCACTATGGGGATTATTAGCTTGCATTTTATGGGGTTCTTGTGCAAATAGTGGTTAGCAGTGAGAAAGCAGTCCGCAACTTATTCCAAATTGGCACTCGGATCTGGATGAGCGCACACACCGGCATGCAGTCGAAGACCTGCCAGACAGGATTCGCGCAGGCGGACATTAAACGATCATTCCAGCTTCCGGGTTAGCAGAAAGGCCCTACAGAAGCCACCAAACAACAAGAAAGTAGCAAAAAGGATCCTTAAACCCTAAACCCTAAAGCCATAAACCCATAAGCCAAAAACCCCTAAACTAAGCCCTCTACACCCCCCCCCCCCCCCCCACCCAAGAAAATAAAAAAAAAAAACGAACCTCCGTGTAGTGCTTCCACAACTTCACGCCGCCGGATCCACCCATGCGACGCTTGACTTCATCGTAGAAGCCATAGATCCTCTTGCTTAAGGTTTAGTGGTTGAGGGGTTTGGGGTTTAGGGGTTTAAGGGTTGAGATGGGTTGAGGATTTAGGGGTTTAGGGGTTGGGGAGGTTTAGGGGTTTAGGGGGTTGAGGGTTGAGGGTGTAAGGTTTCAGCTTTGGGGGCTAAACCCTCCCACTCGGCAATTGGGGGTTCGGTCCTTTTTTAGGGGGGGGTTGGGGTTTGGGGTTTGGGGTTTGGGGTTTAGGGTTTAGGGTTTAGGGTTTAGGATTTAGGGTTTAGGGTTTAGGGTTTAGGGTTTAGGGTTTAGGGGGGCGTTTGGGGGGCTTAGGGGGCTGGGCTTAGGGCTTAGGGGGCTTAGGGGGCTTAGGGGCTTAGGGGCTTGGGCTTCGGGGCTTACGGCTTCAGGGGCGTAGGCGTTCTTGCGCTTTTGGTAAGAGGCATGCAAGGGAAGCCGAACGAGAGCATGAGATTTGAGGGGGTTTGGGGGGCGCTTGAGGGTTGAGGGTTTGTAGGAACCGGATTCCAGTAGTCTGTAGGGTGCAGGATCCCCATCTGCCCTAAACCCTAAACCCTAAACCCTAAACCCTAAACCCTAAAGGCTTTCGGGTGGGTCTTGGGACATGGGGGCCGCCCGGGATCCTGCTTAGCATCAGGCTGTCATTCTTTCCGCGCAGCATGAACACCTGGGTCGCCGTGAGGAAACTTTAACTAGGTGGCTCAGAGTTTGGATTATTAAGTAGGGTTTAGGGTTTAGGGTTTAGGGTTTAGGGTTTAGGGTTTAGGGTTTAGGGTTTAGGGTTTAGGGTTTAGGGTTTAGGGTTTAGGGTTTAGGGTTTAGGGGTTTAGGGGTTTAGGGGTTTAGGGGTTTAGGGTTTAGGGTTTACTTGGAAGCCCTTGAGACTGAGTAAGTAGGGTTAGTTCTTGGGATGAACATAGGGTTTCGAAGGGATACTACGTAGACTTACCAAGCCAAACGACTTCAAGGTAGACGTAGCTTACCATGGCCCGGATATCTCTGAAATGGTCCTGTGACTTTTTCCTTCATCCGGAACCCCTATCTTAAGGCTAAACAGTCCTAAACCCAAAACCCAAAACCCTATACCCTAGACCTTAAACCCTAAACCCTAAACCCTAAACCCTAAAACCTAAACCTACACCCTCACCCAGTCGCATGTGCCGGCAGCTCGCCCTTGTAGAGAAATAGGGTGGTGATGGTCTCAATCATGTACTTCGCCCGGTTCACATAGTTCCTCTTTGGGGTTTTTGCGAGTTTTTAGGCTAAGGGCTTTCGGGTTTTGGGTGCGGAACGTGCCTCAAGTTCCTAGTAGGTTTGGGGCTGAGGGTTTAGGGTTTAGTGGTTTAGGCTTGCCATGTAATACTGGCCCTGAAGAAAGCCGAAACCACAAAACCCTGAACCGATGTGGGGGTTTCCGAAATTCGGGGTACCTTATTGGGGCCCTTATGAGAACGGAGAGGTGCCTGCTTTTCGTAGACTCTCAGATTTAGCCGAGGGTCCCCAGAAAAAGGTAGCGCGTCTGCCCAGGATCGCCGAAGCGGGAGAAGAGCTTGCTCAGGAGCCCCACTTGGCACCCCGTCAATGTCCCACAGACAGTCCTGAGTTTAGGGGTTTAGGGGTTTAGGAGTTTAGGGTCTATAGGGTTCCCAAAACCCAAAACCCCGAACCAGTTTAGGGTTCCCTCCCCAAACAGAGAAAGGCAAAACCCTCAGCCCTATAAGCCCGACACCCTAAACCCTAAACCCTAAACCCTAAACCCTGAACCCTGAACCCTAAACCCTAAACCCTAAACCCGAAACCCGAAACCCTAAACCCGAAACCCTGAACCCTGAACCCTAAACCCGAAACCCTAAACCCAAACCCTAAACCCGAAACCCTAAACCCTAAACCCGAAACCCTAAACCCTAAACCCTAAACCCTAAACCCTAAACCCTAAACCCTTCGCCCCAGAGTCAGAGGTGCTTCGAGCTCCAGGAGCATCGGCTCCCGGAGGAAGGCCGCCCGCGCCTTGGCGCACACGACCTGCAGCTCCTGTGTGAGTTGAGGGGCGTAGGGTTTAGGGTTTAGGGTTTGGGGTTTGGGGTTGGGGGTTCGGGGTTTGGGGTTTGGGGTTTTGGGGTTTTGGGGTTTTGGGGTTTGGGGTTTTGGGGTTTGGGGTTTGGGGTTTGAGGTTTAGGGCTTGGGTTTAGGGTTTGGAGTTTGGGGTTTGGGGTTTAGGGTTACATGGTGCCTTAGTATGGTCCCGTACCTCTTCTAAAGGGTTCTGAGGTGTGGGCCCTTGGGTTTCCTAGACTAGAGGTATTTAAGGGTTTCCCGAATAAGAGGCCATGTTAAGTAAGGGACCATGTAGCTACCCGCGGATCCTGTCTGTTGAGGGGCTGAGGGTTTAGGGCCCCTGGCCAAAGACTCTTAAAGCACAAAAGAAAGGAAGACAGGCCCCAGAAGCTCTAAATCCGAAACCCTAAACCACTGAGATCCGAAAACCCCTAAACAAAACCCCTAAACCCCGCAACCCTTGAACCCAAAATCCCAAAACCCTAGACTAAACACCTCAACCCCTGAGCCCTAAACCTTAAATCCCAAAATCCCAAAACCCCTAAAACCCTTCTCCTAGTGGCCAATTACCCTGGCCCCAAATAAGCTGACCTTTAAATTATGGTAATTAGGACTCTATATATACACCAAAAGGTTCCACCCTAAACCATGAACCCCTAAGTTATTCCCCCCCCCCTCCCGCAACCCAAGAGGCGGACTCCTCTGCAGGCAGAGGCAGCGACGCCCCACGGACGCCACCCACGCCCGGCCGCAACTGCTGGAGGTGGCCTCTCGGGGTTTTAGGGCTTATAATTTTCTAGGGTTTAGGGTTTAGGGTTGGAAAGGGTTTGATAGGGTTTTATAGGGTTTTTGGGCTTCATTTAGGGTTTATAGGATTTGTCGGGTTTAGAGGGTTTCTAGGATAACTGCACTTATACGCGGCCCAAAGTCCGCTAAGTAGGTTACAACTAGACTTATACTTGGGGCCCTGGGGGCTATCCCCGAGCAGACTTACAAACCCTAAGCCCCAAGCCCTCAGCCCTAAGCCCCAAGCCCTAAGCCCTAAGCCCTAAACCCTAAACTTAGGCCCTAAACCCTAAACCCTAAACCCTAAACCCTAAACCCTAAACCCTAAACCCTAAGCCCTAATAGCCCTAAACCAAACCCCCAAGTGGGGCCCTCGAAGTCGATGCCCCGCTCCACGAGGTAGACCTCAACGGCCTGGTGCTAAGGAAGCCGAGGGGGGGGGGGGGGGGGGTTAGGGTTTAGGGTTTAGGGTTTAGGGTTTAGGGTTTTGGGTTTAGGGTTTCGGGTTTAGGGTTTAGGGTTCAGGGTTCAGGGTTTAGGGTTTAGGAATTTAGGAATTTAGGGATTCATGGGTTTACGTAGGGTTTAGGAGGGTTTAGGGTTATAATGTCGGCTTTAGAGTTGTAGCGTTTAAGGCTTAGGGCTTAAGTGGCTTAAGGGGTGTAGGGTGGTTAGGGGGTTTAGGGTGTAACCTGAACCCTAAACCCTGAACCCAGGAGTTAAGGTTTAAGGTTTAAGGAGTTTGGGGGATTTAGGGGTTCGGGCTGCCAGTGCGTTTCGAGGTCTAGGGCTTATAGGGCCTTCCCACGAAACTTCCGAAGCCTGGACACCTTAGAGGCCACTCCTGTGGGTTCAGTGTCTACAGGATTTAGGGTCTGCAGCTGTAGCAGGGTTTAGGGTTTAGGGTTTAAGGTTTAGGAGCTGTACGTGCCCGCCTAAAACAAGGAGAAACAAAACCAACCGCCCAACAAGGGTGAAGGCATGACCCAACACCCCGCAGCCACGGGCGCGCAGCGAGGCTCCACGCGAGGGGACCCCTGAAGAAACCCCGCCCACAGCACCAGCAACCATTCCCAAACAACTTTGGGCCCCCTAAACCCTAAACCCTAAACCCTAAACCCTAAACCCCAAACCCCAAACCCCAAACCCGAAACCCCCAACCCTAAACCCTAAACCCTAAACCCTAAACCCTAAACCCTAAACCCTAAACCCTAAACCCTAAACCCTAAACCCTAACCCTAGACCCCCCGAACCTAAGCCCCCGAAGGGTTCCTCGCCTCGTGCCAGCCCAGTTCTGCCAGGGTTCCTTGGTAGCCCAGTAACCACAAAAAAATAAGCTTACCCGAAACCCTAAACCCTAAACCCTGAACCCTAAACCCTAAACCCTAACCCTAAACCCCAAACCAAGAAAGGCACAAAGGGCACCACTGGGCCACCCAAGTTCTCTTGTCCTCGAGCGCATGGTCTTCCAGGATCAAGCTTTGCAACTCGACGGGCGTTCCGCGGACATCGGCAATCTGTGCCTTGCCGCAGGGTTTAGGGTTTAGGGTTTAGGGTTTAGGGTTTAGGGTTTAGGGTTTAGGGTTTAGGGTTTAGGGTTTAGGGTTTAGGGTTTAGGGCTTAGGGTTTAGGATTTAGGATTTAGGATTTATCGGGTTCAGGCCCTGGTTTCTCGGAGTGTTGGGGCAGCTTAGGGCCTTCTTGATTTGCCGTAGAAGCTAGCGCGGTTTAGGGTTTAGGGTTTAGGGTTTAGGGTTTAGGGTTTACGGCTAAAAATGTCCTGATTTTGAAGTGTTTGGGGTTTCTAAGCCCTGTACTGAACGCCCACTACTGTTTGCTTAAGAACCCCCGAAGAAAAAGGTAATCATTCCCATATTGCACTTTTCAGGAGAATACTTATACCTTTCGTTGGGGCGTTCTTGAAAAAAACAGTAGCCCTGAACCCTAAACCCTAACCCCTAAACCCTATGCCCCTAAGCCCCAAACCCTAAACCCTAAACCCTAAACCCTAAACCCCAAACCCCAAACCCTAAACCCTAAACCCTACACTGTGAGTCTGGGGGCCTTGAGGCCATGGATGGTGGCGCTGCTCTCAGCAGGGAGGGTGCAGATGACCTCGCCTGCCAAGCCTTTGTGCTTGCGGCTTGCAGGGGTTTGGGGGGGTTTAGGGTTTAGGGTTTAGGGTTTAGGGTTTAGGGTCTAGGGTTTAGGGTTTAGGGTTTAGGGTTTAGGTTTTAGGGGGTCTAGGGAGCTTAGAGAGAGTTTGGTTCTTTTTGGGCGCCGCTGGGGACTGAGGGTGTTTTTTTAAGCTTGGCACAAAAAGGCATCGTGTGTGCGTTTGAAAGCATCCGTTCTGCTCAGGTGACGCAGGCCCTCGCAACCTGTCGCAACCTTCGCACTAGGATGTGGAAGAGCTTCGAACCCAGAAGCCCCCAAAAAAACCCAACCCCTACACACTATAAAGGGACTTGCGAAAATAAGGGACCCTGAGTATAAAAACCCCCAAATCATCGGATCCCCTTACAGTAAGGACCCCAAAAAAGGTACCCCCAATATCGTAAACCCCCGGTATGAAGATTCGAAGGTTCAGAAGCCTAAAGAAACCCTGACAGCTGCAATCGGGCAATCTTGGGGCGGATAGGTCTACAGACTCAGACGCCGCTCTCAGCGCGCTCTTCCGTTCGGGATATGAAGCCTAGAACTTATAAAGCGTGAGCCCTGAAACTAGGGTCTGGGGCTTAGGGCCTAGGGTTTGAGACCCTAAACCCGATACCCTATGAAAAGGTCGAGAGCGGCTTGAAAAGGCTCTAGGCTAATAGGGCTCCTGGGGTAAGGGCTCAGGGCTTAGGAACCTTTGTTGGGTTTTAGGGTTTTAGGGTTTAGGGTTTAGCGCTTAGGGTTTAGGGTGTACAAGGGGATGTAAATACAACGCACAATACCCAAAGCTGGGACTAAACTATTCATATGGTTTGTACATAGAATGTATAATTCCCAAAGCGGGGACTAAACAATTCGTATGGGTTGTGGAGGTTTTGTAGGGATTCGGCCAATGTAGCCATTTGGAGTTTTTATTCCACGTCAACTCCAGAAAAAGGTCAGGGTTTCTTTGAATACCTACTCAGCACGACAACCTACAGCCCTCCGAAACCCTGCGCCCTCAACCCCCCCGAGTGCCAAACCCTAAACCCTGAGCCCCAGACCCGAAACCCCAAGCCCAACTGCTCTAGGAGGCCTTTAAGACATAGAAAATACTTGCCGTTGCTCCTTAGAATACGATAGGATATGCCCATCAGGCTCAGTAGCCCTAAACCCTAAACCCTAAACTCTAAATCCTAAACCCTAAACCCCGGAACCCCCAAAGACCAGATAAGCAACTGAGGACCTTCACGGACACAGTGGCAGCCATGGCGCGGACGAAACCCTAAAGGTTTCGAACTCAGGGTGCCAGGTTTAGGGTTTAGGGTTTAGGGTTTAGGGTTTAGGGTTTAGGGTTTAGGGTTTAGGGCTTAGGGCTTAGGGGTGCTAGAGGTTGGGATTTGGGTTTTAGGCGGTTGGGGTTCTTCAGGGGTTGAGGGCTGGAGGGGTCAAGGGTGCAACTCGTAGGTACTTTCTTGAAACGTGGTGAGCTCGGAACAACCAGCGCTTCCTACACCCAAGAGTGACCTAGGAACAAGGAGGGTGCCATTGTTTTTCTGCAACCTGGCTTTGTTAAGGGAACCTAAGCCCCAAACAAAGGGAATAAGGGCCTACTTGCCTGGGACCCTGTTTTTCTACGGTGTAGTAGTAACTACCCCCTATTTAGGCACAACCCCTAAAACTGCAGGTAAATAGGGTCCAGGTGGGTCCTAGCTTCACTGGGTCCTCGTTACCTTAAACCCTAAACTCTAAACCCTAAACCCTAAACTCTGGGTCCTATCTTCATAGGGAATCGTCTGCGGGTGCCTTGGAGAGTGACAGCATCGCTGAGCTTTGGGGGTTTTGGGTTTAATTAGGGGTTTAGGGTTTAGGGTTTAGGTTTTAGGGTTTAGGGCTGGGTCTAGGGTTTTAGGGTTTTAGGGTTTTAGGGTTTTGGGGTTTTAGGGTTTTAGGGTTTTAGGGTTTTAGGGTCTTAGGGTCTTAGGGCTTTAGGGCTTTAGGGTTTTAGGGGTTTAGGGCTTTAGGGTTTAGGGTTGTAGGGTTTTAGGGGAAATACATCCTAAATCCTACCCGTTCCTCCCTGCAGAGGCCCACATCCCGACACAGCCAGCCTAAACCAGCTCATACCATGGGCTTCCCTCCTACCGCCCTCTATACTACCCCCCTAGGTTCCCCCCTTAAATCACCTAGGAGGGGTGTATAGAGGGGGGGGAGTATGGGAACCCATGATTATGCAGAGTGAGTTCTGTCTGCACTGCCCCTGTTGAAAGGGGCGCCTTTTGATGGCAAGAGTGAATACCCCCTCCCCAGAATCCACTTGGGCGCCCTTGTGCGGCAGAAGCGCCGGGATTAAGTAGTCGCGAACCTTCTGCCTTGTGTGTTCATCAGACCGGCAGCAGCCATAGCAGCAATGATGAACGGGAACTGCGCTCTCCAGGTCTCCATTCAGTATGCTCGATATGATGAACCTTTGCCGCAATCGCACCAGCGTCCCAGGGGTTCGCGCACCACGGTCTGACTCAATTCCAGAGGGCACCCCCAAACAAGGGCATAAACCCCAAGCCCCAAACCCCAAACCCCAAACCCCAAACCCTGAACCCTAAACCCTAAACCCTAAACCCGAAACCCCAAAAACCCTAAACCCTAAACCCTAAACCTTTTCCCAGACCCTGAACCCCGCGCACGGGCGCGCGCCTGTAGATGTTGATCAAGCGTGCGATCCGAGCCTGCAGGATGCCGTAGGGTTTAGGGTTTAGGGTTTAGGGTTTAGGGTTTAGGGTTTAGGGTTTAGGGTTTAAGTTCAAGGCTGAGGGATAATAATAATCATCAGGGTTTCAGGGTTTCAGGGTTTGTGGGTTCGAGGGCTTATAAGGGCTCAGAGTTGAAGGCTTAGGTTTTGAGGGTTTAAATCATGTTGTGCCGGCGTGAAAGAGAAACGTATCATTATGAGCGCCCAAATAAAAGAATTGTAAGGGCACACAACATATCATTGCTGTAATTCCTGGCTTTCTTCTCTCCGTTCATACAATTCATGTGCTCTTTAATGCCTAATTATAGCTGTATTCATGGAGTTGTCTTCACTTTATTGATATTATAAGGACAGAAAGAACAGAAAGTGCTATCTTCACGTCATAATCTACGGCCCAGTAAGAAAGACAATTTTGGGGGCCGCAACACGCTCATAAGATGAAGATAACACACACACACACAGGCCCATTAAACATAATTGAGTTTGCAAGCCCTGAGCCCTAAGCCCTAAGCCCTAAACCCTAAACCCTAAACCCTAGACCCTTAACCCCAAACCCTAAACCCTAAGCCCTAAGCGCTAAACCCTAAACCCTAAACCCCAACCCTAAACCCCTAACCCCTTAAGCCCAAAACCCCATAAGCCCCCAAAGCAATAAATGTCATGCTCATGCTCTGCACCCAAGGTGCCAAGGGGTAACCCCAAACCCTAAACCCTAAACCCTAAACCCTAAACCGTAAACCCTAAGCCCGACTCTTTTGGGGCATTTTGAGCACAAGGGCACAACCTAAACCCTAAACCCTAAACCCTAAACCCTAAACCCCCACACCCGAAGCCCTGAACTCTAAACCCTTGAACCCTTAACCCTAGATGAACCCTGAAGCCTGAACCCTAAACCCTGGAGCCCTTGAACCCTGAACCCTAAACCCCAAACCCGAAGCCCTAAACCCTAAACCCTGAACCCTAAACCCGCGGCCTCGTGAACCTCGAACCACCACCTGGGCTACTTGCCAAGGATGGGCAAGCTCCAGGACGGGGTTGGCATTGAAACTTTTTGTGGAGGGGATAGGGTAGAGGGTATAGGGTATCGGGTATAGGGTATGGGGTATGGGGTATGGGGTTTGGGGTTTAGGGCAAGGGCCATCGGATGTTGAGGGTTTGCAGGTCAGGGTCTAGGGCTGGGGCTTCAGGGCTTGAAATGGGTTCTCAGGTTGGGTAGGCAGGAGGCTTCTTTGGGGTTCGGGTTGAGGGTATGCAACGGCACTAAGAGAGTCAGAGGACAAGACAATATGTATCACCCACCCGTGGCCTGACACTGACCTATACCTAAATGATAGGGTGTAGGGTTTAGGGTTTTAGGGTTTAGGGATTAGGGGGGTGTTGGATGGTTTAGGGTGTAGTGTTTAGGAGGGTTTAGGGTTCAGGATTTGCGCGGGTTTAGGGTTCAGGGTTTAGGGTTTAGTCGTTAGGCTTTAGGGTTTACCCCCAGCCCTGACCCAACAATCCGACAGGCCATAGCCCTCTCGAGCCCAAAAACTCCCTGAACCCGTATATTCAATGCCTGAAGAATACCTCATCCGTTCTCTAAGGCTAGAAGGGGCTTATACGACCAAGCCCCCCAAACCACAAAGACACAACCTCAAAAAATGGAACTTGTTTTTCAAAATCTAGACGCAAACCGTGAATCAAGGCCCAAACCCGAAACCTCCTACACCTAAATCCGAAACCGTTAAGAGCCCAAGTGGCAAAACCTAACCCCCACACAGCCCGAAGCACTAAGCACCCTTTAAAAAGCCTTAAGCCGCAACACCTGGCACCCCTTGAAACCCTAAACCACCCTAAACACCCCAAATCCCCGAAACACCCCAAACCCCAACCCTTCAACCCTAAACCCGAAAACTCTATTGTACCAAACCGACCCTAGACCCCTAAACCCTAAACCCGAAACCCCCAAATCCTCGAAAAACCCTTGCGACGAGGCCGCTGAAGATTCGCGCAGCGCTGCTCCGAAAGCGGTACAGGCACCTCCCGGGCAGGGAGGAGTTTAGGGTTTAGGGTTTAGGGTTTAGGGTTTAGGGTTTAGGGTTTAGGGTTTAGGGTTTAGGGTTTAGGGTTTAGGGTTTAGGGTTTAGGGTTTAGGGTTTAGGTTTTAGGGCTTAGGGCTTAGGGTTTAGGGTTTAGGGTTTAGGGTTTAGGGTTTAGAGGGCCCCAGGGATGGGGGATGCTCAGGGGGAGGCTTAGGGTTCTAGGGGGTTTAGGATTTAGGGTTTGGTGTTTAGGGAACAGGGTTTCGGGGATTCGGGTTCCAGGGGCTTAGGGTTTAGAGTTTAGGGTAAGAGGGGAGGCTTTAGGGTTCAGGATCCAGGGCTTTTAGGGTTCGGGGTTCAGAGTTTAGGGTTTAGGGGCAACAGTGTTTGGGGGTGAAGTGTTGAGGGTCTCGAGCTTTGGCTTCTGGGTGAGGGCCCGGAACCCTAAACACTAGTAAAACCTTAACCCTAAAGCCCTAAAGCGCAAACCCTGAAACCCTAAACCTAAAGCCCCAACCCTAGAGCCCTAGAACCCTAAACCCCCAGCCTCGCCCAAAAAGGCGTCCTAATCAATACCCTAATTATCTTAGGAAGGTTGCATGGCCCCTAAACATGGGCCCCTGAAAACTGGGGACCCCTTTCTATAGAACCCACAAGGGCCCAAACTTCAGAACGGTCGAGCTCGAGCTCTAAAGAAGGTAAGTGACCGTCGAAAGCGTCTGCGTAATCCAAAATGCCTGCCCTGTGGGTTGCATGCAGCTGCGGGCTGCAGGGCCAGCAAACAAGGCGACACTGCAACAGACAAAGTTCATCAGCCAATTAAGGCAAGATGTGCCTCGATGCCCACTGCGACGAATCGCAGACATCGGCGTGCCCCTTCTCGTCGTGCTTCAATGTGTCAGTGTCCAAGCGTCCGGCTGGACCATCAACGTCTTCAAAAGCTCGCCGATATGTTCTAGTATGCTGTCTCCATCCCGTCTCTCATCGGCTTTGAACACGTGGTGTCCCAAGCTGAACCATCCCCCATCAGTGCCTGTCAAACTTATTCCGCGCACTCTTGGAGAGGCTCATCTCGGCTGCGACTTGTAGTACCCGAATGTTGCTTTCAACAAACACCAGGAATCTAAGACTATGCCATACACAAACCCTAAGCCCTGAACCCTAAGCCCTAGACCCTAAGCCCTTAACTCTAAACGCTAAACCCTTAGCCAATACGATAATTGTTCACAAAACCTTTCCTAAGACCCCAGCCGAAGCTTACATTGGGAGAGCCGAAGAAAAAAGGGTGTAGGGTTTAGGGTTGCGGGTTTAGGGTAATATCAAACAGCAGCAACGACAGCAATTTGGTGGGCAGGGCCACTTCCATGCTAGCTGATATGCGGGGGACAATGTGCTGCAACATGACTCTCCTGTGAAGTTCCTGGGGCCCTCTTTGCCTGCAGATTCATAGTATGGTTGAGCTTGGAACGGTCGAATAGTGCCGTCAGTGCTTCTGCT